GTATAGCCTGGCTTTCCCAAAAGTTGTTCTAACCCAGGCAGCAGTGGACTGCAGTTTCGACCTCGCATCAGTCTTATCAACACCCTCAGCGGGAGTCGAACCGCTGGATGAGAACAACTTTTTGGAAAGCAAGGCAATGTGAAATTGAATGGAAACGTCAGCTCTACTCATATCATCGTTGGAAAATTCTACTACCAGTCCCTCATCACATTACACGAAATAGGGTGAATACATCTCATATTACTGATTTACTGGTAGTCCCGAAACTCAACTCTGATACGAAAAAAAGATTGCCTGAGTCTGATTTTTGCTCTGATCAAATTATGTAATCTTGAGATGCTATTATAAGATCCCTCTTAGTTCTATTTGCCAGGTTAGGCCTATCCGGAATTCAAACAATACGATAAAAAATGCCTTCACAAAGCTTATGTGAAAAACTTTCTTGGTCTCGATGTAAAGTGAAGAGTGCCTCCATGCGTACTTGTGAGATTTGAAGATAAGCTGGGTTTTGAAGAATCACTTCTTAGATTGAAGCAGGCAGCGACCATACCAGGTTGAATGCTTCAGTACTAGTTCACTCATTAAAGTTAAACAACCGCAGGCCCGGTTGGTACTTAGACGGGTGACCGGCTGAGAACACCGTGTGTTGCTGTCTTTAACAGTGCTGATAGACACCAATGCCTTAGAAACTCACCACTCTAAACCAGGAACAAGCAATTAATGGCCGGGCAAGTTGATCAGATTAGACTTTTAAGAGTATCCTCTTCACAAACCCACTGGCCAGCCAACCAGCCCACCAGCCTTTCTGGTGAAAGTGACTGATTAAGGGAGTCCACAAAACGCCATTCCACCAAATTTAGCCGCCTTTCTTATGCCATGTTCTAGACTCGCAGTCATCGCCTGTACCCTCAGTCCTGACCTCCTCCGGAGATGGTGGCTGCGAAACGTTTCCTATTGCGGTCTCGCTTCAACGCCCAAGTTTCGCTTGTACGCCGAACATGGGCGACCTTTTTGGCCCCAGAGACAGTCATTTTCATGACGAAAAGGTGGTTGCTTCCATTGTCCACTCTCCTGGGGCTTCCGAATCACCGTCTCGTACAGAGTTTCCTTCAGCCCAAAGACCCTAAAAGTAGGCCGCTATAATAGAGCTTCTCAGGCTAACTCGACCGGTGTAGCGAACCGGATCACCGGATCACATACAAGCCTCGCATATTGTGGGTGTAGGAATCACCTCGACCTTTGCCTTCAAGACATGAACACAACTTATGGCGTCATTTAATGTGACAGGACTGTCCATTTCCAAAGAAAAGTTGGCTCGAAGCAATTCATTAAATAGCTCAACTGCCGCGGAGTGCAGACAGTAGGATTATGCCTGAGACCCTTGGCTCACCATCCTGCCACCCCGATGAACATGTGCTAAGCTTTCGTCTATACGGCCGTTAAATCATACTTTACTATTAAAAAAAGCGCCAAATAAGCTAATATTGACCAACACACTGAGACCATCTCGAAGCACGTCAAGGCTTAGCTCGTGTCTGCATAGCTCGATCAACTGAAAGAGGAAGAGAAAACCGATGTAATGTTTAAATTCACAACAATTATCTGACAAAATTATAGCGTAAACGATTTTAAAGTGAAAAATTGACTCAAGCGAGTGATAAGTGATTGAGTGTTAAAAGGTCTAATGTTTGATGCAAGAGTCGGCGTTGGAGAACTAAATCCAAGTCAATGAATCTATAGAAACCGCTCGTACTTACAGTTAAAAGGGGTGTTTGGTTGGCGTTTCTCGCGCACCGATCAAAAGGCATGCGGGCAAAAAAGATAGTTACAGTTAAGCCTGGGGCGGATTTAGGAGAGAACACGGTTGCTTTATTTGCCCTGTCAAATGAATTAGATGGAAGAAAATATTTTCCCTTTTTTTGACTACGGAATTTGCTAAAAAGTGCTGTGCAGTATAGTCCAGATGCACACCCCTAAAAGCAAAATAACGATTTTTCGTTGTTGGGGCGAATTTTATTTGGTATGATGAAGAGATTTTTGGTTGATCTCAAGTTAATACGACGTCCGATTCCGGTTGTTCCGCAGCCTTTTGGCTTTACTATAACGGTAATGTTGTCGCGGTCTACGAGACAGCCTCTGTCGTTTCGGGAGAAACGGAGCTAGCACATGTTCCATCATATGACGGGCATCCTCAGAGCTGACACTCATTCTTATAAAACTCTCAAGTTAACACCAATTAGAGAAAACT